CCTAATAGTCTATATCACTATCCAGTTGTGACTGACAGTCACTGATGTCATACTCATAACTAATCAGATTATACCAAGCATCACCTAGACGAGGCTATTACTAGTAGGAAGTAGTAGGTGAGGCATTACTTCTTTTGAATATGCAGAATGCAGAACTTCCATTTGGATAGAACGCCTTAAAAACTTCAATTTCGAAGCATCACACCTATCAGGACGAATATTTCAAAACAAGAAAGACTTAGAAACAAAAACTACCCATGGTAGTATGCCATAGTCACGAGCCATGCTTATGGTATATTACCATTGGTCTTTTTTGTTTGCCAGAGTCTTGGCCATGATAACAGTTTTCCATCGACATGGACCATGTCACATGGTTGATTAGTCAGTTTCTTTGATTGAGTTAAGCGATATTTTTCGAGACGAGAATTCCCAAATTCGAGACTGTATTTACTGATGTTTCGGAATTGTAGTTCTCAAGACACTGTAGCCAAATTGACGTTCTTCCACGATCTTATCTTCGCTTCCGATCGGCAGTCCCAATTGAATATGTTATTTACCAAATAGCCGTTGAAGAGGTGTGCTTCATGGTGTACACTGTCACTTACATGTCCTCCAGGATAAGTGTTCCTGCCCCTTATTCAGCGCCCACTTCCAGCTCGGCTCGTGACAGGTATCAGACATTATCAATGTCATAAAGCGAGCTGGTTTGGAAGATGCCACTGAGATGGACGAGCATCTACGCGATAAACCGAACATATGCTTGACGACCCCGACTTTGAAAGTTGGCGAATATGGGAATCTTCTAGAGATGGCGATCGGGTTCAGGTCACTACGGTTGCTACATAATTATCTGAGTAGTGACGAAATTGCTGCTGATGTTACCTTTAATTTGATTGCTGCGGAATGCTCGGTTTTCACCATGACCTCCATGAACGCTGCTCGACCAATTCTAGTGGGGCTGGTTAGGAGTGAAAATAGACGCAGCATCGAACATGTCCTGAGATCATTCCACGAACTCATCAGGGATGTGGGTGTGTGCGAATTAGCTCAGATCACCCGAATTATTCAAGATGGCTCCATTGGAGCCGCTCCAAGGCTCTCCACGGTGCTCTGTCTGCGGCCTTCGAACAGGCACTTATGAGCTGTTGTTTCTTCCATTTCACGCCAGCGGCCAAAAGGAAGAAACCAGTTGGAATGAGAGCAGGGCTATGGGGCGAGTTGAAGAGCGATCTGAGGGCGGTAGCTGAAGCTTCAAGTCAGCCAGAATTCATCTCTCTCGTCGAGCAGCTCGACTCGAGCTTCTCTTCGGTAAATGGAACGAGAAAGGCGCGGCTAAAGCGGTTGATTTTCTCAACTCTATGGCGAGTGGAGAATGGCTCGATACCGATAGCTTCCGTTACCGGTGGGCTGTTTGTCACAATGACGGCGTGGGCGGGAGAACGAGTAACGGAATTGAGGTATTCCACAGATTCCTCAAGAAGACCCTTCTTCGCTCTCGAAGGATGCGAGCTTTATTGCAGTTTGCTTACGTTCTAGCAGGAGATGAATGGAAAGCGGTCTCCAATAATAAGCATCGAGACGACGGGAGGATTATTCACCAGTCAGATAGGGTGTCAGCTCTAGCCACTCTATCTTTTTTCCCCTTACTAGGGCTCTCCCGTCATCAGTGAGTGGTCCCTGTCATCGAGCCTCTTGTTGCAAAGATATCTGTCGCAAGCCTTGCGACGCAAGGCATCTCACCACTTTGGTGTTAGAGAACATGTGTACGTATTCCGAGGCGACAAACCAATGCACCAGACGGATTGGAGTGGCTGACAAGATGCTATGCCTGAGGGTAACGCAGAGGTACGCAGACTTCCAGACTGTGAAGAGGATAATGGACAAGATATCGCTTGTGACTTTCACTACTACTTCTGATGTCACTCAGCTTCCTCGGGATGGAGGTCCAAGATGCACTTGGGAATCTTTTGCAGCGAGAAGTAGGTGCTCCCATGTGGTAGCTCTGGGATGTCACTTTGAAGTCGATGACCAAGTGGCGTGGCCAAGAGCTGAAGCGAAACTGCAGAGGAAGCTCAGCAAAGGTGTGGCCGGTCCCGGATTGAGGTTGAATGAAACTATCCGCTATGGAGGAGCACGCCAGGACCAAGCGCAGGCCCTCCGAGCCACTCTGAGCGGCCCACTCAGTCCAGCATTAGAGTAAGGGGGCTTGATTGTTTCGAATGGCCTCCGCACTCTATCCCTCCATCTTCTGAACTACCCTCAGTTAAGAGGAGAGATCTGTCAGCATGCTGTTGGGGTTATTTTGACTCACCCAAAGTATATTGCTCATCAAAGAAATGCATCTCTACGGGGTGGTAGCATAGTGACTGCGCTGAAGCTTGGTGTATGGCAACTGGATACCCGTTACCCGACCTAGCCAATCCCAGAAAGCCATGGCACTGTTCGAGGTGTAGGCCTACCAGTGGAGATTCGAGGAAGAGATGAAGCGATGAAGTGTGTTCCAGGTCAGAGTCCCCGCCTTAAATTTTCCCTACTCCCTAAGTGTCTTTTAGATGTTGCTGAATCGATAGCTAGTTTGTGGTTACATAATACCATTCGATGGGTCGATTGCATGACATTACCGCCGAGTATGCGGCATTTGCCTAATTCATACATCTCGCTAGTTTCGACCAGTGCGATATTGCCGTTGTACTGCATACTTTACGTTGCTCCCGAAACGATATACGACCCTATGAATCCTCTGGGAGTTGAGCTTCCGAAAAGTTCTGAATGATTTACGAACCCCGGTAGAGCCTTCCGGGAGGATCAGGACTCAGTAGCCTGACTTGGATCCGCCTTTCATGAGTGTGAATCTATGATCGCCGCGGAAAGCTGGTTATTAAGACCATTACGCCTAAAATCCTCAGCGATGCGATAGAAAGGAGGATCCCCATGAGTTTTCGGAACGTTTGTCAGTAAAACCATACGAGCAAAAACCAGATCATCGGACAGAAGTCCCGAGTCGGGTAGACGACGCATTCGCCCTTTATTGACCTCTTCTTGGATGATTTCCTCGGTGAAGTTAAAACTAGCTTCAACACTGGCATAATTAGCTAATCGGCGAAGGCGCAGAATCTGCAGAGATTCATCCTCCTCCTTCTCATACGAAGGGAACAAGCCCGTGGCTGGTAAAGTCCGGTCAATGCCTAACTCAACCCCTTCATCAACAGAATTCGCCAAGGAACGGTCTGGGTCGGCAAGCACCGCGATAAGGCTTCGTAATAGATCAGCTTGGATTCAGGAACCACATCTAGAGTACCTAGTCGAACAATGTAACCAAGGCGCCAAAGATGCCCGACAGAACTTGGCGGCATCTCTGAAAGTGGAATCAGGCCTTTGCGCTTCTGCGGGAGACGGACTCCCCTTGATAGATGAAATAAGCTCAGTCAGGTTGAACTGTGGTATAGTCGAGGTGAAGTTTGACGCAACATCACACGTGCAGTGGGGGGCCGACTCTAAGACCCCCCAAGGTACGCTTAGTTGGTAGAGTCGCGGACAGACCCGAACCATCACGAAATTCGTGACACGAATATGTTGGGTTGCTGTCTGTTCAGATAATCGCTCCCTTCCCAACTGTTCAGGAGGGTCAAGGTATTCGAGAACACACTCAGCCAGTCCACCATCACCGGAGGAAGAATATTGCGAGGGAGGATCAGCCGCAACTGGCTGACATAGGCTGTCTTCCGTCGGGACCGGAGCAAAGGCTCTCGGCGACGACGACGAGCTGTATACGCGCGACGACGTTTAGTTATTGCTGCGCGATTACGAGTATCATTATGGACCATAGAGAATTAAAGGGAGGGAGTCTCCCTCAGGGAGAAAAGAAAAAACTAGGGAGGAACGTAAAACCATATATTCGCAATTGAAACCTGGCTCCGGAAGCCAGCAGAAGGCAGATGCCTTCAACCCAGCAAAGATATCTGAGATGCACTAAATCAAGCACAAGCAAAATCGGTCGAATAAGAGGAAAATAGGTAGAGAGAACAGCGAATCACATCATTCGTGTAATATCGTGTCTATTATAGTTAGAACTCTCATTGTCATTATTTTTGTAATTTGGATACTGCTGCTTACTTTGGATACTGGTGAGGGAACGTTCGCAGGAGAACGGTTATCCCAGGACGCTTGAGGCCCTGACGTCTTGGGGTTGAGGATGAGAAACGACGAGAAGAGGAACTAGCCTAAGGTTTGTCAGAGGGACTATGCGCTCCTAGATATGGGGACCTAGCAGAACGTGGCGAGCCCATTGACAAGTTGGCAGCCTCAGAAGCTTTGGCCGACCACAAGTCGAGATTACGGTAGCAGGCAGCTAGTGTCCGGGATCCACCGCGACATGCATCTTCAATGGCCATACGGATAGCCCGGTCAACCGCAATGGCAACCGACCAATTGTTCTCGATGGCATACCATAAAACCTTGTGGAAGTATTGAAGAAGATCGAGAATCAGCACATTATCAATAGGTTGACCCTCGAGCTCGACGTTGGCGAGGCAAGCATTGGGGGTGTCAACGCTGTTCTCGAGCGAGCCATCTTTCAGATGGAGTGCTTTTTGTATAGACAGTAGGGCGATAGCAACCACCAAAATGCCCGAGACCACTTAGCAGTAAGATTACGTTCAGCAAGGACGCCTTCGGCCGAGTTCGACGATAGCTCTGATGTCAGCGACATAAACTTGTTAAAATCGACGAATGTGGTCATATTCAACCATGAGCAGTCGAATATTTTCTTCGGGGGAACCAAGCTTGCCGGTAGGCCGCTGCAATCAAGCCTCGTCGCCAGCAACTTCATAGACAAGGTCAGCAGTTTAGATTGCCGCCGCTTCTGAGTAGTAGGTTTGCCAAGCAACGGGGTGGAGGGCTCACTGAAGTCCCTCTTAGCTCGGGTTACTTGGACCAGTAGTTGGTCAGCTGCCTCATCTCTGGCGGCAGCCAGAATAGATGCGATCGTGCGGCACGAAGG